ACAGTGGAATGAAATTAAAAATCACCAGCTGGAGAAAATTGGGGAAACTCACAAATATGTGGAAATTAAACAACACACTCTTAGTAACCAATAAGTCAAAAAAGAAATCAATAGAGAAATCAGAAAATAGTTTGAGATGAATAAAAAGGAAAACACAACATACCAAAGTTTATGGGATACAACTAAAGCAATGCTTAGAGGGAAGTTTACAGCTGTAAATGTATATAGAAAGAAGAAAGATCTCAATCAATAACTTAACCTTCTACCTTGAGATGCTGTAGGAAGAAGAACAAACTAAACCAAAAGGAAGTAATAAAGATTAGAGAGAAAATTAAATGAAATTAATTAAATAAAGAATAGAAAAATAGAGAAAATCAATGAAGCCAAAAGCTGGTTCTTTGAAAAGAACACCACATTTGAGAAATGCCTTGTTTTTTTTTCTTTTAAAGATTGGCCCTGAGCTGACATCTGTTGTTAGCTAACTTCTATTTGGGGCTTCTTCTCCCCAAAACCCCCCAGTACATAGTTGGAGATTCTAGTTGTGTGTCCTTCTAGTTGTGCTATGTGGGATGCGGCCTCAGCATGGCCTGACAAGTGGTGCTAGGTCCACGCCCGGGATCCAAACTGGCAAAACCCTGGGCAGCCGAAGCGGAGCACACGAACTTAACTGCTTGGCCATGGGGCCAGCCCCTTGAGAAATGTTTAGCTAGACTGACCAAGAGAAAAAGGGAGAAGACTCAAATTATTACAATCAGAAATGAAACAGGGGACATTACTACTGACCTTACAGAAATGGAAAAGATTATAAAGGAATACTATGAGAAATTATATGTCAATAAATTAGATAACCTACATGAAATGGACAATTCCTAGAAAGACATAAACTACTGAAACTGACTTAAGAAGAAATAGACAATCTGAATAGACCTATAACTAATGAAAAGATTGGATTTTGTAATCAAAATAGTACCCAGGGAAAAAAAAAGCCCAGGCCCAGATGGCTTCACTGCTGAATTCTACCAAACATTTAAAGAAGAATTCATACCAGTTTTTCACAAATTTGTCCAAAAATTAGAAGAGGAGGGAATATTTTCCATCTCATTCTGTGAGACCAGTAATAGCTAATGTGAAAGCTAGACAAAGATATCACAAGAAAGAAAAACAACAGACCAATGTCTCTTACAAATATGGGCACAAAAATCCTTACCAAAATACTAGAAAACCAAATCCAGCAACATATAAAAAGATTATACACCATGACCAAGGGGGATTTTACCCCAGGAATGCAAGGTTGGTTTAACATCCAAAAATCAATTAATGTAATATGCCATATCAGTAGAACAACAACAAAAAAATATGATCAGGGGCCAGCCCAGTGACGTAGTGGTTAAGTTCACATGCTCCACTGTGGAGGCACAGGGTTCACAGGTTCAGATCCTGGGCACAGACCTAGCACTGCTCATCAAGCCACACTGTGGTGGCATCCCACATAAAATAGAGAAAGATTGGCACAGATGTTAGCTCAGTGACAGTCTTCCTCAAGCAAAAAGAGGGAGATTGGCAACAGATGTTAGCTCAGGGCTAGTCTTCCTCACCAAAAAAAAGATCATCTCAATAGAGGTAGAAAAGGCATTTAAGAAAATCAGCATTTCATGATAACACTAAACCAAATCAGAACAGAAGGGAACTTCCTCATAATGATAAGGTACATCTACGAAAAACCCACAACTAACATCATGCTTGATGGTGGAAGATTGGGTGCTTCTCCCTAAGGTAGGGAACAAGACAAGGATGTCCCTTCTCATCATCTCTATTCAACATTGTAGTAAAAGGAACAAGAAAAAGAAGCAAAAAGCATCCAGATTGTGGAAAGGAAAATGTGGAAAGGAAAAAGTAAAGCTATCTTTGTTTGCAGATGACATGATCTTTTATATAGAAAACCTAAGGAATTCACTAGAAAATTATTACAGTGAAGAAATGAGTTCAGCAAGGTTGCAGGATACAAGATCATTATGCAAAAGTCAATTGTATTTCTGTACCCTTGCAATGAGCAGTCCAAAAATCAAATTAGGAAGACAGTTTCATTTACAGTCTCATCAAAAACAATCAAGTACTTAGGAATAAATTTAAGAAAAGAAGTGAAACGTGTTGAAAGCTGCAAAACATGGTTGAAAGAAAATCAAAATAAATGCAAAAACATCCCATGTTCATGGATCAGAAGACTTAGTATTGTTAAAATGGAAACACTCCCTCAAACTGATCTGCAGAATCAGCCCAATCCCTGTTAGAATCCCAGCTTACTTCTTTGTAGATATTGACAAGTGATCCTAAAGGTAATTTGGAATTGCAAAGGATTCAGAATAGCCAAAACAATCTTCTCAATTTCAAAACTGCCTACAAAAAACAGTAGTCAAGACAGTGTGGTACCAGCATAAAGATAGACATATATAGGGGGCCAGTCCCATGGCCAAGTGGTTAAAGTTCTTGCACTCCACTTTGGTGGCCTGAGGTTCACTGGTTCAGATCCTGGGCTGGACCTGCACACCATTCATCGTGCCGTGCTATAGCAGCATCCTACATAGAAGAACTAAAATGACTTACAATTAGGATATACAAAACTATATACTGGAGCTTTGGGGAGAAAAAAAAAAGAGGAAGATTGGCAACAGATGTTCACTCAGGGCCAATCTTCCTCACCAAGAAAGCATACATTAAAAAAAAAAAAAAGAAAACCAAGGCCTGGGCCCCACTCCAGCCCTGTTAAATGGTTAAAATAGTCTTTTCAAAAAATGGTGCTGGGGGGGTCCAGCCCTGTAGGGATTAAATTCAGCACATTCCACTTCACTGACCTGGGTTCAGTTCCCTGGCACAGACCTACACCACTCATTAGTGGCCATGTTGTGGCAGCAGCCCACATACAAAATAGAGGAAGATTGGCAGAGATGTTAGCTCAGGGCTAATCATCCTCTGCAAAAAAAAAAAAAAAGGTTCTAGGACAACTGGATATCCACATGCAAAAGAATGAAGTTGGACTCTTACTTACTTCACACAGTATACAAAAACTAACTCAAAATGGGTCAAAGACCCACATGTCAGAGCTGAAACTGTAAAACTTTTCAAAGAGAACATATGGGTCAATCTTAGTGACTTCAGATTTGGCAAGGGATCCTTTGATATGACAGCAAAATCCCAAGCAACAAAGCACAAAATAGGTAAGTTAGACTTTATCAAAATTTAAAACTTTTATGCTTCAAAGTAAACTAATAAGAAAGTGAAAAGACATCCCACAGAATGGCAGAAAATATTTGCAAATCACATATCTGATAAGGGATTTTATCTAAACTATGTAAAGAACTCTTACAATTCAAAAGAAGAAAGACAAGTCAATTTAAAAATGGTCAAATTATCTTAATAGACTTTCTCTGAAGAAGGTATACAACTGGCCGCGAAACAATGCTTGACATCATTAGTCATCAGGGAAATGCACATCAAAACCACAATGAGAGAGAGACCAATTCACATCATTATGGTGGCCGTAATCAAAAAGGTAGATAATAATAAGTGTTGGTGAGGATGTCAAGCAGTCTGACAGTTCCTCAAAAGGTTAAACATAGAATTACCAAATGATCTAACAATTCCACTCCTAGGTATATGTCCAAGAGAAGTAAACACACTTAAGCTTGTATGTGAATGTTCATAACAGGGTTATTCATAGTAACCAAAATGTAGAAACAATTCATGTCTATCAGTAGATGAATAGAAAAACAAAATGTGGTGTGTTCATGCAATAGAATATGATTCGACCTTAAAAAGAAGTGACATAGTGATACATGCTAGAACGTGGATGAGCCTTGCAAATGTTATCCCAAGTGAAAGCGTGCAGAAACAAAAGACCATATTGTATGATTTGATTTACAGGAACTTTCCAGAATAGGCAAATCCATAGAGACAGAAAGTAGGTTAGTGATTGCTTAGGGTTAAGGGGGGAACACAGATATAGGGAGGGGTCATAGCTAGAGGATATGGGATCTATTTTTGAGGTGATGCAAATGTTCTAAAATTGGTGTTGGTTGCAAATATCTGTGAATATGAAAACTATTGGGTTGTCTCCTTTAGACAGAAGCCCAGCTAGTTTGCCTCTGTCAGGAAGGCAGAGCCCGTGTTGCAGAAGCGCATAGGTGGGGAGATGCAACAGGGGCGGTTTACGGAGCTGCTAGTGTTTTTCATCCTCACATCAACCCTTTGAGTTAGGCACGGTTGTTATTCCTGTTTGCAGATGAGGAAATAGAAGTTATGTAAAATTAAGTCATTTGACATAGGAATACCAGGAAAGTGTAGAAAGCAGCTTGCTTTTAGGAGGTCTGTGCTGTTGTCGGCATTTCTGATCGGTGACTGAAAAATCTCAATGTTGTTTTTTTATCTGAGAAAATTTATCTGAAATATAATCTTAAGACTTCTCCCCAGAAAAAGGTTTTTAGCAGATACTCTTCTATTTTTAAGTCACTGTATCTTCCTAGAATATTCTCAGAAATGGCTAGAAAGCTATCTGATGTTATCGGGCCAACTGTTATCCCGAAAATTCTGTCCTTGTGAAAACCAGTTTCTTGGGAGAGATGAAACGCCCAGGCCATCCTTTTCTCCGGGATCCTGAGGAATCTAAAGTAAAATCTTTTCTTTGTTACAGACTGCAGCGGCTCCGCTGCTGTGAGTGGTGGCCTGTCTCTAGTCGCTAAATCCGCAGCTTCTGCTGAGGGCGTCCCGGCCCTAATGGAGGCTTCTGCCCAATACATTTCTAGGGAAAAATCTCACTGGGTTTGAAAGGAGCCTCAAGAAGAATGCTGAACACTAGTTAAATGAGTAATGATGCAAGATGACATTTCTTGTGACTCACTTTGCTTACTTACTCCACAGGTGGGAGGCGGGTAATTGTTTAGAAACACAAGTATTGTTTTATGAAACATTGTGAATTTAAAATATATTTATATTAATATTGTCTGTAGGTCCTTTCCAGTCTCAGAAAAAGAACTTATTCCACAAAATTGTCAGCAAATATAAGCACAAAAAGGAGAAGCCTAATGTTCCGGAAAAAGGTATTGGTGTCTTCCATCCTCCATTAAGGGTTCTTGGCCGCCTCCATTGTGAATTCATCTGAGTGATGCTTCCGCACCGCCTCTGCCTTTTCCTCCCCGTTGCTTGCTTCCGTGTCTTCGGCTCCCGACGCAGGCACCTCCGTTATTTCTAGACTCCACAGCAAGGAGAGTTCTCCTTCACTTGGATTCCTACTCAAATTCCAATTTTGTCTCTATTTTCAGAGTTCCATATGAATCCTAAAATTGCTTCGTTTTCATCTATATTTGGTACATTTTGTAATTTAGTCTTCTTGAGCTCTTATCTCCTTATTTTCTTTGACTACTCTCGTTTTTCTCATGTTTGGCCGCCTTCCTACCAGGACCGCATTTTCCTACGTCCTGAAACCTCACCCGTTTCATAGTCATACGAAAGTCCCACAGTTTCTATACTTCTCTGACACTGGAGCATTCTTGTCCGGGAGGATTCCACTCCTTAGTCATAACCTATCTTTTTTTTTTTTCCTATCTGTATATTTCATTGTTTGCCAGAATCTTCTGCCCACCTCCTTCAGTCATGTAACTGTTATTTCCAGAGGGCACTAGAGACACGTTGCTCTACCCTCCCTTTATTCTGAGCATCTCTCTCATTGTTACGCTCTTGCTGGGCCCTTGAACCTCTTTGGGGCTGGTGTAAAGATTTCTTTCTTCTCACAGTTCAGGACTCCTGTTCTTCTTTCACATAAAAGAGAAGTCTCCCCATCTGGTTTGGGACAGCCGCGTGTCCTGGAAGCCGGGCTTTCTGTAGCGTCTCCCTGCATGCTAGTGTCGTGACTGCCATGAGCCTGCTCATCTGATGCCCATGCGAATCCTCCTTGCATGGCGACATGTGAAACTGTCGTGTTTCTGGAATGAGGCTTTCGGTGCAGCTGTCTCCATGTGTAGGCATGTGTGCTTATGTGTTCCTGTATGTAACCTGTTACTTAATTTGGGTTTCATTTGCACCTCCACTTCAGCCTCGTAGTTTTGTTTTGTATATTAATATTTTTCTCACTGCTTCCAGTGGAGAAACATCACTCTTTAGGTAAAACGTCAGCTTTTATCATTCCCTTTTAACTGATCTCCAGGTTATTTTGATTAAAGTCATAGAAATTATCGAACAGTGTATTTCATAAGAGGCAAATTTGTTTTTAATCCATTTCCTGTATAGCCTAATTATTTTAGTTGGCAAATGCTGTTTTGAGAATTAAGTAGTCGAATTAAAATTCTGCTTCATTTGTGTGATAATGTTTCATATTTAAGTTGTATGTTGTCTTATTTTTATAGTGTGTGTGTCTCTCCTAGGAGTGGAGTTTCACTTCTCCTTTCTCTCGTTGTTTTTAGGAAGTGGGGATAAATGGTCAAACAAGCATCTCTTCTTGGATGCCATTCACCCTGCGGAAGGTAAAAGAACAATATTCATGGTATCATTTCAGGAAGTCTGGGCTGGAAATGGCATAATTTTTATAGGTTTTAAAAAAGCATAAATTATATAGGCCCAACCAACGTTAGAACTGAGAGTTCATAATTGGGTTATTTTTAATTTTCAAATTAAAACTGATATTTTTGACCCTGCTAAGAGTCAAGGCAGTGTTTCATGTGGAGTTTATAACCTTTGAACCACATTAACCAGAAATTAGAGATTTTTATAACTAAAAATACTCAGCCGTGCAGTTCATGTCGCAGGCAGATGCTTGTGGGAGTCAGAATAGGGCAACCTGGGGCTCTCCTGCTTGGCTGGGCCCGGACAGCCCAGCAGGGGTGGTTCCTGAGCTGAGCTTTTTCCCTTGCCCACCTCCCAGGACGTCTAAACATGATCCGATGCAGTGCCCCTGAGGCTTACGAAAAGCCAAAGAAAAGGCCCGTATTGACTGGTATAATGTTATAGGTCCCACATGCAGATTTTATTTCAAAATTCCCACAGTCATATTTATTTATGACTTTATCTAATCCCTGTTAAATATTGAACCCTGAGGTGAATGCTAATTTTGTGATGGTTCAGAGGCCATCCCTCCTTCCTGATGGTTCGGATGGCCTCTGAACCATCTTCCCACAGGTTCTCTTTTTTCTATTGTAGGTATTTTTAAAGAGCTGGACATTTTGTAGTGCTTAATTAGGAGTCGCTTCATTTGCAAGCTAGAAAGAATCTTAGGGATCATCCAGTCCAACCTTTTGATTTACCTATGGCCAGAAAGGGGAACTTAATGAACAGCGCACGTCTCTTGACTCCCAAATACGCTCTTTACTGAAAAGGAGAAGAAAATTCAAAGGCATGTTTGGCCTGAGTCATTTTTCAAAAATACTCCTGTTTTAAAGATATTTACCAAAAATATTCCAATTTGAATTCATTACAAACATGAAATATTTCGGTTTGGTGGGCATCGTTTACAGGAGCCACAGGTCTGCTTTTACATCTTTGTAGTTTTACAGAAAATGCTGGCAGAACGTTTCTCTTTTCTGACCTGTTAGTTCACATTCACTACCTCTATGGAGTACCATTTCTCCTCTCTCCTGGCAAAATAAAACGTGAATTGTCCTGCTGTTCTCAGCGTTAAATCCTTGCATCCCAAAATTGATATATAGTAGCTCTTGTATATGTTGAAAATATCTTCTGCACAGACTTGATAAATGTAAGGCACTGATGAACTATTAGAGAAATGTAAAAGAGGCATTTAAGACCACATTGCTCTTTTCTTGAAATGATACTCCTCTAAATGTTTTGTTTTTGAAACAATGAAACCCCTACCTTATATAAAAGGAGCTATCACAGCAGGTGCCGTGTGGTAGGAAGAGCGAAGTAGGTAGGAATTAGGGGACCTGGGTGCTAGTCTCAGATCTGCCCCTACCTAGCACTTGTCAGTAGGACAAGTTGTTCAACCTCACTAGGATTCACTCTCCACGTTTGTACCGTGTGTGTGGGAGGCGTGTTTTCAGGGCTGGGTGGATGATCAGAGGTAGTAATACATGAACCGTGAATTTCATTTCCCCTCGAACACGTGATGACTGTGTTCCTCTGATGTGTTGAGCGGGTGCTGTGATGCTGGAAGTCCCTTGTCCTCTCATCCTGATTTTCTGCCCTTTACAGGACAGAGAACAAAACAATTTTGGGTCTTCTGGACAGTCCCAAGGGTTTAGTTAGAAATGGAGTTATTATTGGTGATATTTACTTACATTTATTATTGACGTATATGAAATAAAACTTTGGAGAACATACACTGAAAATTGCATTTGCTTTAGTGTAGAATGCAAATTCATTTACGTGGCCAGGAAAAAGGAATCAGAGCACTGGAAATTGCCAGTAATTTAGAGTGACCCTTTTTTTGCTATTTACTTTCATAACCATCTCCTACATTTTCTTGTTCGGTGATGACTATGTGCTTTGTGAATTACAGGTTCTTTACTTCATCCTCTCTCTCACCTATGGCCATATCACTGCTTATTAGAACTTTACCTTGGAGAGTATAAATATATTAGGGCAGAAAATGAAACCATAATCAGGATAATTTTAACATGTGTGAGCCGTCCTGGGCCAAGGTTAGACAGGATTTGTTTGTACTGATGTCTGTAATAGAAATGTTGATTAAACTGAGGCTATGCCGCTGCTGGCTGTTCCTGACTTCTGTTAAAGTGGATGACTTCAAGTTCACTGGGCTTTCTTTACACCACTCTGAGTATAATTGCCTTGCAATTCATTTCTTTTTTTTCAGGATATCAGAAATCTTTACATGCTTAGTAATCACATCTGAGGTTTAAATGCTAAGCTTATAATCTCTTTTAAGCGTTTTTCCCCATGCTTTTAAAATTCAGAATCACTAAATGATTTCTTGAAACTTTTGCAGATCATAAAGATTGCCTATAGCCTAGAATGAAAGATAAAATTTTCAAGTAAACCGAGATGACTTCCCTCTGCCACTGTGTTTATCTTTCCACCAAGTTACGGTATCACATGCTCATGCTTAAGCTAGCATTTTCTAATTGTGATAATAATGATGATGACCAACACTTCATTGCTTTATAGTTTCCAGAGGACTTTCACATACATTTTTTGTAAAAACTAGCCTTGACCACAGCCCCAGTGAATTTACAGAGGGCTTATTAGCCCCGAATCCATGGTAAAGAAGAGAAGCCTGGCCAACGTGAGCAGAAAGGGAAAAAACCAGGCCTCTTTCCACTAAACCACAGTGGCTGCTACAGTTTGGATTTTTCAGACATATCTGTAGATAGCCCTCATTTGGCTCAGATGTTGAAATTATAAATTGTTATCTTACAAAAAAAAAAAAAACCCCAAAACCTGAAACCTCAGACCAGGAACCTTCATAAGATTAGTTTCTTTGCAATATATAAATCTAATTACAGAGAAGAAAACTCTGGTTTATAGTTGGATTTTCAAACATGATCCACAGCACTCAAGCTAACTTAATCTCTTTCCTCAATTTCAAAAGAGTTGCTGTATAACTTCAGCAAGGTCTCCCGGGCTCTTAGATAAGCCTCATTCATTTGATTTTTTTTCCTGTGTTCCTTTCAGCATCTGACTGCGTTTTCAGCTCCTGGGAGACCAACCAAAGGCAATGAGATTCCAGATTTGGCTATAATAATTTTAGCGCACGTTTGATTTCCTGGGTTAGAATGTGAATTCCCGACTCTGGAGCACTCTAGTGGTCTCCTGAGGTGCAATACCAGTGCAGTGCCACGTTCCCGAAAAACTCACTCCCGACTTTGGGAACAGAGTTTGGAAAACAAGACAGGCTCTTATGGCCACATTCCTGACGTTGCTCCAGGAGTGTGCGTGCGTTATCACTCTCGGATGACGCACTCCGAAAGTATTATGATTATCATGGAGTGTGCAAGCTAGCCCTAGGGATGTGTTTCACAGTGCTTGGGTAGGTTTGTGTGTTCAGTTACAAGTTGGAAGAGAAATGACTAATTTGTTTTTAGAGGACAAAGCCTTTCTTTTCTCACATTTCCAATAGTTTGGCAGGGAGAAAAAAAGGAACTGGCTTTCAGTCTTGGTCCTCCGCTTCGGGCTCTCTCCCTCTCTGAGCTTTTTCCGTTTCGTCCGTTTGCTTGGCTCATGTTGCTGGACCAGACAGCTACTTCTTTGACTTAGCCTTACCTCCTTCCCCCGTTCTTCTGTCTTAGAGAGGGTTCTCCCTGAGTGCTGACTGAAGGCTGTCATTGGTCTAGGCCTCGAGACAAGACAGGACGCTAGGACACTTGGGGGTTGACTCATGGGTCAAAGCATGAGGCAGGCCTCACTCTTGCCTCCTCTTCCAAACTCCAGCAAGATCACATAGATACCTTTTCGAATGTGGATGACCTGCAGGCACCATGATTGTTTGTTGATCTGACAGTGTGCTTAGAGGAGATGACGTCTAGATAGACGCCATTGCCTGCTTTTCAGTGATTTATGATTGTTTGTTGACCTGACAGTGTGCTTAGAGGAGATGACGTCTAGATAGACGCCATTGCCTGCTTTTCAGTGATTTATGATTGTTTGTTGACCTGACAGTGTGCTTAGAGGAGATGACGTCTAGATAGACGCCATTGCCTGCTTTTCACTGATTTATGAGAACTTCCAGTGTATTCTCGTTTTTTGCCTCTTCTATTTGGTCTGCACCCTGATTTACTCCTTCACTCTCTCCCAGCACACCAGCCACTGGTGTCTCTTGGCCTGTGTGCCTTTGGCACCCTGGCTCCTTGTCTGCTCATTCCTGACCTTCCTCTAGCGCCAGTCTGCTTTTAGGCCTGAATGATACATCCCGTTTGCAATCCCTTTGCAGCCATCCCCTTTTCTTATATTGTGTTTTTGTCGGTTCATCTGGAACACACAGGAAAAGGAGTAACCATTAAATAGAAATGAAACCATTTGAAAGCTCACCAACAAAAGCATAAGTAGTGCTGGTCAGTGGAGTATTGGTCCCCGGCCTTGAGACGCTGGAGCTGGCTGGAGGCTTGTTTTTCCCTGGCCGAGACCTGATTCCAGGCTGCGTGGCAAGAGGAACAGAATTCCAAGGCCAGAAGGCTCCTTTAGAGCTAATGTAGCCCAGCCTGCATCTTTACATGAAGAGACTGAGACCCACGGTGCCACTGTTAGAACAGCACAAAGCCAAGAGTAGAATCCAGCTCTCTCTCTGCCCGTGCTCTTCCCATTGCCTCCTCATCTTTGCGGAAGAGCCAGGTCATCTGCCCCAGCCCTTTTCTGGTCCACGCTTTTTCTTTGACCTCCTTGGTTCTTTCTTTCTGTAAGCAGTTCTTATGATATAATACACCCTTCCTCTTTGGAAGCCTGCTACACCCTATTTCCACGAGTTCTGGATTTTTCTGGGAAGAGGAAGGAGAGGGAAGCGGTTAATGCTTTTTCTGGAAGGTCCACCTGTAATGTAGTGCTCATACAGGAGAGGTGAACAAGATCCCCCCAGTTGTCAGGAGGGGCACCTGATGGATCTGAATAAGAAACTAGAGATTTTGAAGCTTGTGCATATCCAATAAAGGTTATTCAATGCTCACTGTAAACTAAGAGTTTGGCTTCTTTGTACCTATAGGAAGGTTTGGATTTCAAGGCTAATGCAGAGGTCCTGAAACTTCTTTGGAGTGTTTCTAACCAAATTTCTTCTGTTTTGCTGGTAGCTTTTATTGAAGTTTAAACTAAAAAAAAAAATCTTAAAATATATACCCCCACTGACCCATGTTAAGCTAAGTGTCAGTATAAATACGCTAAAACTGTTGGACCTGGGTATAGGTCTATGATTTAAAAAGGAGCCTTTTCCCTACTTCTTGATTACTGGCTTGAAAAGGTGTTTGGGAGCATTGCCAAATAATTTTGTTGGTTTTTTTTTTTTTATAACTATTATCTTAAGCCCATTCCCATACAGCCATTTATTATGCAATATTGAGGTAAGGCCAACACACACATCGTGGTGTGATTTCTGCTTTACATGCTTTCTTTGATGTAATTAAAATCATTTCCCACTTGTTTTGGAATGAGAAGCCTAGAATCAACCTCTTGAGGGCAAAGGTCTTACAAATTCATAGCCCTCCTTTCTCAAGGATGTAGCTAAACCCAATAGAGAACTAGATGAGGCATTTTAAATCAAACCTCTGCAAGTGTTTATAGGAACAAGTGCACTTTTAACACCCTGAGTTATTCTTGCTCTGTTCTTTTCCTCTTATTTTGGCTTTTGTTTCTTCCCCTTGTATAAATACTGTCTTAGTTCCAATGCCTCCCTGCGTATGTGCCTTCTGAACTGCACCTTCAGTTGTCCTCTGGGTTTGGTTTGCATGGAGTTTGTCATGTCACACCTTGGTTTCCTGAACCACGCTCCCCTCATCTTTGTCAAGAATGAGTTCTATGGCTGTCTTAAGAGAAAGAATAGTTAAAAAAGGGAAAGATGCCTCTTCTCTCTGCCCAAAAGCCCTTAGGCCACTGGAATAAAATAGTCCCATTCGGGAAACTTGACTACGTGTGTATACTCCTAAATGCTCACTATACTCATGTCTGCATATTCTTGTCCACTTTTAAATTAAGTGAGGAGAGGGGAGATGAGCTTCTAAGGAAACTAGTATATAAAAAAAGACAAGCTTTCCCAACCCGTTGGCACCGGAAGCAAAGTCTTTGGTGGCAAATGTGTTCCTTACTCTCGACACAGTGACTCATAGGACACAAGCATGTGCTGGTCAGTGATTTACTCATATTACGGTTAGAATTACGGTACCTAAAACTGCCCTTTCCAGAGCCCCGCTGACATGGGGTACTTCATTACATATCTCACTAGGCAATGTTTTATTTCTTTTCTCATCAATACTTTGAAAACTCTAAATGTAAGTTCTCCATTCAGATGGGTCAGACCTTTAGAAATGCTTCCTTCCAAGAGCAATGATGGTGCCTTGTGTTTTTGTGTGTAACTATATATGATTTGTCCTGTTTCAGCCATATTTTCAGAAGACAAAAACACCACAGAGCCTGCTCATAAGGTTAAAAATGCCCCATCCGTTCCCAACACTCCAGAGCCAACAGCAACGCAAGAACCCTTGGTGGGCAGCCAAAAGAGAAAGGCAAGGAAAACCAAGATCACACACCTTGTCAGGACAGCCGATGGCCGGGTGTCACCAGCAGGAGGTACTTTGGGTAAGAGGATGGAGCTGTAGAGCAAGCAAGTGATCATCATGGCCACGTTGGCCCGCGAGTGGCTAAGCCAACTGTGGGTCTTCACTGGAAAGTGGGTCTGTTCTGTGGGTTTGGCCAGAGTAACCTTTTCTCTCTCTGGATCTCCCTTAGAACTACGTTTCTATAGACTTCCAAATGTACATGTTTTAGTCGATGTTTTAAAATCATAGCTCTTTTTCCAAGGGCCTATCTGGAATTCCTAGAAAGAAGAGGTAATTTTGGGGTCTATCAGCTTCTCCTTCCCTTTCTCAGCATGCACAAAAACAGTCTTGATCAAGTAAATTCCTAAAATACTGGATGAGTCATGTTTCTGTGGTTCAAAGCCACTACAAGCCAGATTATCAGGTATTTAAACCAGTGCACTAAGGAATCTTGGAAAGCATTCAGCAATTCCTGTAAAGCTGATTCAGACCACGAAGGGAGCCTGAGAATGCTTCTGGATTTCTTGAGTTCTCTGGGCTAATCTTTAACCAGATCTTAACATACAGTAAATTTTTCCATTTTCAGTCGTGGCCTGTGGTCTGTTTGCTGTTTCTGGTGGCCTCCATGGGGGTCAAAGAGTGACACTGAGCATCCCCCCCTCAAATCTTGGGGTGCTACAGCATCTGAGCATTAGTGGTCTTTGCTGTTGCCTTTCTGCCTTTTAGCACCTCCAGCATCTCATTCTGTCAGCCCTGAAGGAAGCATACCTGCCCCCACCCTAGTCCAGTCCCCAGGAAAAGGTCAGAGGTCCGTAATGACTTCTATACATAGAAAAAAATGTTTGAGTGTCTTTTGAGAGTAATATTTATACATATCTGATTGGTTAATCTAGTTAATAGAGATTCATTGGTTGCTGAGGTAGAATTAGAGGACAGTTAGTGAGTTCTGGGCACTTTTTCTTGTGTTTTGCATATGTAGATTGTTAGAACCATAAAGCATATTGAAGACCCCAACTTTACCCTGTCGTGTAAGAGATGAAGCTCAAGGGGGAATTTTGGTTTTGGATCCATTGAACTACTAAGTCGAAGTAGGATGAAGCCTAGAATCTAGTTTTCCTGATACTTCATCCAGCAGGCCCCTCCCTCCTTCCCTTTCCACTCGGGGTTCTGTTCTGTGATTTTCATTTTTTAAATGGTTACAGCTTCATTTTCACTTCTAGGAATAGTGAAAGGTTTTAGAAAATTTTCCCTTTCATGTAGAAAAGCACAAAGCACTTTCGTAGACATTTACAGGCTTTATCAATTGTTTTCTGTAGTTAAAATATTCTAAAACTATGATAAAGATTCCTCCTTCTCCATAATGGCTACATAGTAAAGAAAGTGTACTCACTCCCAGCAGGTGTATTTGCCTAGAGCATTTCAGCCACCTCTTTGTAAATACCAGAGGACCCCTTCTCTTCCTTCCAGTAGGTCTTCAGAGCAAAAATAGCAACTTGAGATCTCACTGGGATTGGTCACTCTCATTGGGATTGGTGTAGGCCATCCTAAGCGGTGGTATTGGGCGTACCAAATGTCCCAGTCACCATAGAAGGGCCTGCTATGGCTTTATCAGAAGTGTTTGGTCAGCTGAGATGTTAGGGCTCTTTTACAGCATCCACAGGCCACTCTGCACAAGTCCCTTGGGTTTTATTTTGGCCAGAGCCCATTTTTCCCTGTCACTCCAAGACTGACCTATCCTTTGACTTTGGGTAAAACACAGCTCCTGAGCCCAGCTTCCGGGCACAGTGCTGCCTACAGCTGCAATTGAGCTTAATAAAGAGCTTTATTCCTTTGGGAGAGATTCTGTAAAAGCCTTAACATTCGATGGATGACAAAAATGAACTGTAAAGAATATTAGCTCATTGCACATTGTCTGGCACAGTTTTCTCTGTGTCCCTTCTTTGGAGAGAGCAGAGTGATCCTCTCATGATGGATCTGCCTTTCCTTATAGATGACAAACCAAAGGAGCAAATGCAGAGGAGTCTGCCTAAGGTTGCCGAGGTGGGCTGCCACGACGAGTGCTCCCACAACCCCGAGGCCGCCGAGACCCGGAGCAGCACCCCCGAGATGCCGGCCGTCTCTGCCTTCTTCAGCCTCGCCGCGCTGGCTGAGGTGGCCGCCATGGAGAATGTGCACAGGTGAGTGTGCAACACCTTTCTCCTCTGGGGTGCTGGGGACCCTGTTCAACTTCACCCCTCCCATGGAACAGGGGTGGAGCAGGAGACGTGGAAACCCGAATCATCCTTCCGACGTGACTTGTAAGATTTCTCACCATGCACTGGGGTTCATGAGACTTGGTTCAAGACCATTCTTGTTTATGTGACGTGTTAACAAAAGTATATGTGCTGATTAATTAGCAGTGTGGGGAAATATAGTCAGCCAAGCATTTTATTTTGTATATATTATTCTGTGGCTAAGCTTTGTTTCCATAAAGAGCCTCAGTGAGCAGAGGAGCAGTATTATCTAACCATTCAGCATGAGCTTGGAGTCACATCTCAGACCTAGGTTAGAGTCCCAGCTCTGTCACCTGCAAACTGCAAGATCTTGAACCTCTCTACCCTCAGTTTTTCCTTCTATAAAACAGGGGTAAGTGGTACTCATTTCATAGTGATGTTATGTGGAGTAATTCTAATGTCACAGTCCTAGCGCATGGTAAACACCCCCATGAGGATGATGTTGGTCGCAGTGGTGGTACCCACCGAAGAAGACAGTATGGTTCAGGAGAAGGGGCATCATGGCATCTGACTCAGTCACCGGGGGCAGAAGGCCTGGGTTTTTCTTCAACTCTCTGTGTTTCCTACAAAGTAATTTGTTTCTCAGTTTTCTCATCTTACATAGAGCATAGTGATGTCCCCAAAGAATCACAAATTGTAAGGATCAGACAAGATCGTAGATGTGAAAACCTTTTAAACTCAATAAAGCCCCACAGAAAATATATTAAGTTCTAAGTATATAATTGGATATTCTGCTACTTAATGGATCCTTTGGGAAAGCAAAAGAGCCTTTTCTAAATTTGGGTATTTCATATTTTTATTCAAAGTGGATTACACACAGATGAGCTGCTTTCTTAGACTTTCCATCTTCAGTACAAAACAGCTTGACATCCTGCACAACTTGAATACCACCTGATGGGCTCCATTCTCCTTTTCCACACCCAGGTTCAGGAAGCCCTGGGCTAAGCTTTGTCTGCTTCTTGCTCTTCACCTGTCATGGTACAGTTCTAGTCTTCCTCACAAATAGCGCCTAGATATTTCCAAGAAGTCAGATTCCTTTTCATGTGTAACACTGCAAATGCTTAATGGCAAGTGAATGCTGACAGACACTGTTAAAATCTGCTCGAGTCTCTGAGGGAGATAACGCCCAGACGCTTCCACTCATGGTGTTTTACCGGTTGAGTGCAGAGAACAAACTCATTCGCATCAGTAGGAATTAACTATATGCCTGAGTGTTACTAAGTGCCCCCATAAACTGTAGAAATAGGAGGGAGTGTAAGAATTCAGAGGGGGAATCATGATTCAGGGCTCAGAAAAGGCTGCCACAGTCACCCTTGCCAGCATTCCCTTCTGAACATGACTGGTCGCACCATTGCCGTCAGCCAGCTTTGCACGACTTCCGGTTTGCGACAGCAGAGAGCCTCCGCCAGCCTTCCCGCCCTCCTGACCGCCGCCCCTCCTCCCTGCCCTGCTCCGTGCAGAGGGGCCAGGTCCTTGCCTTTGTGCATCCTCCTCAGGTGAACTGCTGCACCTCCTTCCATCTCTTATTCTTTGTCCCCTTCTCTCAATCTCCTCCTGAAGCCTCTGCCCTCCTTGTGCACACCTCTTTAGACCGGCTGCCACATTGAGTTGTAATTATTTGTTCATGCTTCTGTCTACTTCCAGTATATTTTGAAAGCAAAGCACTGGTTTTATTCTTCATGTCTCCAGCTTCCTTAGTTCCTGTTATATCATGAGATGAGTGAACAAATGAATGGGTGAATGACTAAATGAGGTGTTCTTGAAGGAGGGCTGCCTGTTACCTAGCAGGCATAGAAAAAATGGTGTGAGGAAAGGTGTATGTTGGGTTTTTTTCATTACCTCCCGTTAGAAAGAACAATATTGCTTATTAGAATTTTACTATCAACCCAACAACGGGTCAGTGTCCTTAATATCTAGAAAGACAGATCCCCCTGGAGACTCTTAGTTGTAATTTGACTCCTTAGCTGTTAAAGCCGAGCTACCAGCCCGCCGTTTACCTACAGACTTAATGTAATTGTACCTGGTTGCACATCAATTATTGCTTAGGCCTCACCTAGGTTCCTAATTTAGAGAGTGGTCAACAGAGTGAAGGGTAGCAATATATTACCTGCATTCTTGCCGCAAGAAATCTTAATATTAGGTTCAGAAACCCAATGTGGAAAGGCACTTCTGCAAAATTCGGGAAATAGGAAGTTGGAGTAAACGTTTGTTGAGAGCCTGTTTATTTATGGAGAGCTTTATAAGGAGGTGAGCTCATTGAACTTACTCGTAAAATCAGCCCTGCCAGGTGGATCTTTTCAGCCTCCTTTTGATGATGGTGCGGATGGTTAATGAACCTCCCAAGGGCGCACAGCTCAACTGAGTCAGGATTTGAATCCACGCCTTTGAACTCCAGTATCTTTGCCTTTGTTGTAGCGGCTGCTTCAGCGAGCATCTATCGGGTCATGGAAAGTCAGGAAGCAGCTCCCCGATCCCTCTCCTGGGAGCTGGACCCAGCGGTCCCACAGCCTTCTCTCCATCGTGCTTCTGACTCTGTTTCTTTTTCCATCAGTGAACCTGGGCTTTCACCCTGATTTCTCTCTTCTTCTTGCTCTCTTTCTTTTTACCTTGTACTTTTCATCTTTCACTTTCTTTTTTTTTTTCTTTTTGTGTTTCTTTTTCTAATACTTATTAAAATTCTTTTCACTTTTGCAATATGAGTACATATTCAATCTTAAAGGTAAAAAAAATCACATTTTAATTTCATTTCGTGAACAGAGAGTTGAACATATTGAACAGGTGCTGCTTAGAGCCTCCCCAAAGGAATAAACAGATTAATCCAGAGGTTTGATTGTAACACATGTTTTGTTTTTCTAGAATCCTAATATCTTAGGCTGTTAAGTGATCATTGGATTCTGAAATCCCCAAATGTTGTAATTTGTCTAGATTACTTTTCTTTTTTGTGCACTAAGAGAAAAAATCTTGGAGATAGTTGTGGAGCAGATAGACTTTGAGTTTTAAAGTAGCGCCTTTTGTTTGTCATAATCTGAAGAAGACACTGGATGGACACGGTCAGACCAACGGAAACATTGCTGCTACATCCTGTGTGTCAGCACAGTGCTGTGCCTGCACACTGCTGTTGGCCAGAGCAGCGAGTGGTTGTCTAGGCTTGGTAGGCCTGCTACAGGGAGTGTCAAGAAGGTGCCCAGTCCTACGTTTTTAGAATAAGAAGCTCTGTAGAAATCACCAGGAATTTTGAACAGCTCCCTTAGAACCGTGAAGTAAATCCTATTTTTTCCTCCTCATTCAACAAAAGCTGAATGAAAAATCAGCTCTGTTCGGCATAGTTCCAATCCCGATGATGGGAATGTCCGTGAATTTTCTAGTCTTGTCTGGAGTTAGTTCTCTGTCTATGTTGACTTTGGCCCAGGTTGACTGGGTTTTCTCAGCCTCTAAAATTCAGAGTCGGTTCTGCTGTCTACCCTCTCCGCTCTCTCCCCACAGGCCTGGGAGACATTTCTGTAGCCAGGAGGGTTTCAGTGTTTGCTTTTCATTCATCCTGTTAGAGTCACAGTCCACCTCTCTCTCTTTAGGGGTCATCATTTTTATCAGCCTTAAGTTTTAAATTGAGTTTATTACGTGTCTTAAGAAATGAGCCTGAAGGTTATCAGTAAGTATGGGAGAGTTTTCCCCTTGGGCAAGTCAAGGAAAGAAAGAGGTCATTTTTTAATATCAGTGGATCCAGAGGCAGATTGTTGTCCCAGAACCACAGCCCTTGACTGAAAGCTTCCCACTTCCTAGGGAATTTCCCCACATCGGTTGGTGCTTCAGGTTTTGTCTCTACAAAATGGAGTGTGGTCCACTGGGGACAGAATATGTCGTTGAGTTGTGTGAGGGCAATTGAGGTAAGAAATCCTCATGGAGAAAATGAGAAACAAGCTCTAAGGACAAAAACGCTTTTACTGCAAGGGCCTAAGTAAGAAGTTGGCGGTAGCTATTAAACGAGATTGTGGAAAGCTTTTATAGGTTATTCATCATCCTCTCCTATTTCTGATATCACACACTCTAAATGATTTCTTCTTTTTCTTCCTCTTGTTTTGCAGAGGTCAGAGGTCGACTCCGCTCACCCATGATGGACAGCCAAAAGAAATGCCACAGGCTCCTGTCCTTATTTCCTGTGCTGACCAGTGAAGCACCCTTTCCTTGTAAAACATTGTGCTTTACCTACTCCCTAGCCTTGTCTTTCCCGAGGGATGCTAGTGAGTCCACGTGGTGGAAAATATAGACTGCACACAAGTGCTTGTCCCCTCCACGGCCCAGGTTCGCTTGAAGCGGAAGTTAGCATCCTGGGCCGGTCTGTTCTTTCGGAACTCAGAGTCTTTGAGGGTGATGTTATCTGTCTGATAATGAGCAGAAACGGGATGATCCTGGAGCTTTGCTTTCTATTGAAGGCTTTTGACGGTCTGAGGTGGTAACTTGGTAAAAGGCTGCCTTTAGTGTAGCTCATTCAGCATCTCTTTTACCAACCAGAGAGTGTGAAACTAGTTTCGTATATTACCTAGTTATTCTTTCAAAACAAAAACAGAAAACAAAAAAACAAAAACTGACGCACTGCACTAGTTATTATTAGACATTCTTAGTCTTTTTTGTACATGCAGATTTAAGTTCTAAGATGGTTTATATAATAGGTTATACCTACATTTATATTGTAGAATAATATTAAAAAGCCTGGTCCAGAGACTCCAGCAGCGCGGGCAGGCAGATGTACCATTGTTAGCGGTGTATGCTCGGCCTCGTGGTCCATATATTCTGCACTTTTCTATTTGCCACCAGAGTGGTAGTTTGCTGGCAAAAAAAAAAAAAAAAAAAAAAAAGGACAAAAAAATTACAATTCTTACAAGCTGAATTTTTTTCTTAGCCTTGAGTGACCAAGAAGAATTTGCTTGGGGCAAATTGTGGCAAATATTTTCCCAGACCGGGGAAGAAGCGTCCTGCAGATTACAGATGCCTGATGTTTTCATGCCTCGAGGATTCTTTTCTTTTTACACAGGGGTCGAAGTGACCAATGGATCGTTCATACAAACAAAAAAAGAAAAATATTATTCAGAAGTGACCTTAGTATTGCTTCACTATTCTGAACACATTGAAGACACTCACTTCATGTGGACTGTGAGCTACAGACCTTTACATCCATCCCAGACAGACTGGACGGGGAGCAATTGCTATGCACAGCCTGATGGGCGCTGCGGGTTTTTAGAGCCATTTGAGTTTGTGTGGTTAGGGAGGGACTGAGTGAGCAATGAGGGAGGTGTGCCTGACCAGAGTGGGGCTCCCAGTCAGAGATCCACCTGCAAGTTTCTGTTTCCTTTGTGTGTTTTGTTGCTTTTGAGCATAAAACCAACCATACACAGGCCAGTGCCAAGTGGATTAACTGGCTCAGAACATTCAACATATTGACTTAACCACCTGACGTTCACGGTGTCTTGTTTCCTAGCAACAGATGCAAAGTGATAAATCAAAATTAGTCAGAGGCTACAGATTTTACAGGGTATTTGTTCCATAGCACAAAGTATTCCCCCACTCTTGCATCGCAGCACAAACTACCAAATTTTAATCATTGGATTCCAGCAATAATTTTTATTGGTTTTCAAACTGGCGGAATTTTGATAGTGTTAGTTCGAGTTTGAAGCTTTTGAATTAGATCTCTAAATGGTGACAGTTTACAAGGTTTTATCTAGCTTTCTTATTTATACTTGACTGAATTGTAATGATGATTTTTTTTTTCTAATCGTAATTCGACCTAATAGCCATACAAAAAATGACTCTCTTAGTACTGACTTAGGTTTAGCTTTTCATGGTTGTAGATATTACTTCAGTTTCGGTGCTGGAAAATATGTACAACGTACTAACAGAATCGAAAAAGAATATGGAGATTTGTTTTTTTCAAAGCAGGGAAAGAGGGCAGCAGAGCATTGGAATGGTGTCCTCAAATGCATGTTCATTGTGGGCCTGGAGGAAGAGGGAATTAGTAAGCAGGGTAATCAGAGGTGAAAGTTCAACCCCATTCACGTAGAAATAAACCAGGTGAGCCGCCCCGGATTTTAGCATAGTATTTTTACTCTGATGCTGTTTTATTAATGTTTTCTAAATTTCAAAACACAAAGTGAATGTCTGGAAATTGCTGGGTCCCAATATTGGTGGCTGTTGGAGTTTTTGGACCACTTGCTAGCAGTGATTTAAAAATTATAATTAGCTAAAATCCAAAAAAAAAAAAAATAAACCAACAACAAAAATTGTATGGTGCAGAACATGCGCCTTGACAATGGTACTAACTTGTTATTCTAGAGAACACATTAGAATAGATCTATTTTTGCCAGAGCACCCTCCTTCAGTCCTCCGATTACATTTCACTAGAGTTCCTTAAGAGATTGCTGTATATTCATGGGACCTTTTTTAAAAAAGAAGCAAAACAAAAGATTACTTTTTTCTATGTGATTAATATCTTACTTGATCTGCTTTTCCTAAACCTCAGTGGCTTTTCCCTTAGGCAGGGGTGGGGCGGGCGGGCAACCTACTGGATATGACTGTTTTCAGATACTTTAAAAAAAAAAAAACCTTTTTGTAGAAATGCTTAATTTTTAAGCGGTTAGGCACTGAGAGTAGCAGAAATCCTGCAAAGCTTTATAGTCCTTTAGACACTCACCTTGTCGTTTCTCTGAGTGAAGTCTTGATTTCAATAATAGTGCTTTCCTCATGCCCTGAATCCGCTGGAGAGGGCTGTTGGTATTTTCAGGTAACAACATTTGTTAGCACAAATATTTCAGACCAACATGTAGTACCCCCCCCATTTATCATTTTCATTTCATTTCTCTCAATCTTTTTTATTTTGGAAAATCATATTGCTATGGTGTGTACCTTAATCTGCCAGCAAACACCACCTACACTAACATTTGTCCCATAAACATCCTCAAGAGAAAAAGTTGTTGCACCTTATGTATATCTCAAGCAAACCAAAATATGATGCTCTTTCTGCTTTGTTTTATTCTAAATTGTTGTATCATATCTTTCTGAAACCATTCTGAATTTAGTTGAAATTATCAATATTTATGCTTTTAACCTTAATTTCTGGATTCAAACCTGTATATAAATCTTTTGAAAAAAATTGTCCTAGCCCTTCTCTGTGATGCTGGAAGTGGATGATTTAGTCTCAGATGGAGACGCAGTACTGTTCCAGTTTTCTTTAGCCTTTTATTTATTTAGTTATTCTGGGTCTTTCCTTTGTAATTTTGAAGTGTGTAGAGTATATTATAGTAACTAACGCTGCAGCTCTAAGAAGCTGAGTGAAAGAAAAAATACTGTAAGACATCCTTTCTAAGTTTGTATCTGTTTGGATACTGTATTGAGATCAGGAAAAGGAGAAACGTCCCACAGCCACGTTAAATTAGGTGAGCTCCCAGATTCCAGGTCAAAACTGTTGCTTCATTAAAGCCCTTTTCCAAGGCTCAGTCCTACTGTTGTAATTCTGGCAGTCTCTTCCCCACAAATATCAGAAGTGCTTATGTTTAATTCTGTCAGATGAGCTTTCCACCAGGGCCATCCCCAGGCCATGCTGACTGCTTTCCCATGGTATCACTGTTACTCCGGTTCCCTCCACTAAAACCACTGGAGAAAAACAAGTGAGGGAGCACCATGAACAGCCCGGAGCAGCCCAGCTGCTCTGCTGGCTCAGAATCCAACATGTCTGGCCCCGGTCGTTTTCTCGTTCAGTCAGATGCTCCTCTGCCGGAGTCAGAGGAAATTTTGTCTGTGGTCTTTGGCTCGTCGGATGGAAATGTTTGCACCTAGGTAGAATCTCAAGCAAATTCTAAATCGATGCAGAACCAGGAGTAAGCTGACAGCTGAATGACATGTTTTGTTTATACGGTGTGGGGGAGGGATGAGATTTGTCACATCGCTCTGTCCCAAGTCTGGCATTTGGCACAATCTGGAGCAGGGGCATCCTGCTGCCTGCTAATCTGCTGTAGGAATCGTGTGTGTCTGGAGACCAGCGGCTGGAGGCTGGAGGCTGGAGGCCGGAGGCCGGCGTCCGTAGAGCAGAGGGAAGCCCCGCCACCTCGCTGGGGGAAGGCAGGAGGTGGGGAGAGGCCTGGCGGCGTCCTCTGTGAAGGGAGAGCGGACGCAATGCTGTGGAGGGGGGATCCCCTTTGGTCGCACGCTCCACAGAGCCCTGACCGAAGGCCAGTCCTCATGGCTACCTCGGCTTTAAGAGTTCATTTCAGTAAGTCCTGTTTCAAAGATTTGTCTTGTTTTGCTTCTACCTTCAGTGCCACTGTTTTCCACTGCAGTGTTTTGACTTTGCAAACCGCCTTCTCCAGAGAGAACAATGTATTGCTGAAAACGGGCAGTAGAAGCAAATGCTGTGATTGCATTTGACCCGTGAAGTATTCAGAGTGACTTCTAGGTGGAAATTAAAGCTTAGCTTTCCCCGCATAGGACCTTGTTTTGCACCTTATGAAGAGTGTACTAATTGTTAATTAGATGTTGCTTTTATTTATACAAGCATTCCCAAAGAATTAGATTTGGATTTTGTTTTTATTTGAGTTTTGGGATTTTTAAAAATTATCTTGTTTAGATTGACTAACATTATACTTAACAATAAACAGGAAACAGTTGTTCAGTTCGTCTTGCCAGCCAGGTCTGGTGAAGTATTCAGGGTCTGATGAACTCCTTGCCTTAGTTCGGCAGTGATAGCTAAGTTTATTATACTCCATCATAAATGACCTTGTCCTTTTCACTGGGGACGTTATCTTCCTTACATTTCAGAGCAAAGAGGCAACAAAAGAGAGAAAAGACAATATACTGGACTCCCTTCGTCCACCTCCATCTCTTTGTGCTATCTTTCCTTTAAAAATTATTTTATACTTTTTGTTCACAAGAAAAATAATTTTCTCTCCTGGCCAAATTTTATTCGTGGTATTATGATTCACACTAATAAATCGAGAGGGAAACCTTGTCCTTAGAAGTTCTGTGGCCACTGTTTTCTTGTTGCAATCCGTGGTCAACGTTGATCCTGCCCTCAGTTTGACTTTTATTTGCCCAGAACTCATGAAGATTACTCCTCCCTCCAAAGATTGCCTAAGAACTTGGGCCAGAACTGGTTACTGAGTGACCAGGACCGGATTCTATGCCTCCGAACCGTCCCACCCACACTGCAAAGTCTTACCTCACAAGCTCTAACCTAAATTGCAGAGGCGCCAGGATTCACAGGCTGAGAGGGATCTCTCTTTGTGGCCCCCGAGGGCCGGCCGTGTCCCCTGACACCTCACAGCAGTGCCTCGGCTCCAAGAGCGGCAGGACTGGGGGAAGGGAAACTTCGCGATCAGAGCTCAGCAAGGTTTTTCTCATTTCATTAGCCCTAAACAAGTCTCTCGCTCTCAGGAATTTGTCAAAAATAAGAGTAAAAAACCACCTGAGATTCCACCCACCCGATTATGAACTTTTCTCATAGGTTTGAATTGCTTACTGACACGTCATAAATTAACCATAGCCTCATTCGACCACCAGTTCTTAAGTCTCTTCACAGTTTCAGCATGACCTAATCACTCATTTTTTTTTTTTTTTTGCTTTCAGAAATTGGCTTGGTTCTCTTTAGAGTTGGTGTAAACATGCCATGTAATAAATGATTTCCACTTAATGGTACAACAGAATTATTGCTTTCTTAGATGTATGTGTAGTAAAAGTCAATATACACATTTATATAATTTCTTTCTTCAGAATCTTATACTTAATTTGATATTTCTAAAAATTGCACATGTAAGTCATGTGTATAACATGCTAAAGTACTTTAACTGTGATCTTAAAACTGAATAAAAATATTTAATAAAAATTTGAAATATTTTAAAGATATTCAAATATATTTCTTTACGTTCACACTCCTGGCCATAGAGCCTGTGCCTTCAATACGCCGTGTCCGCTAAGAACACTTGGGGAAATACTTTCATGAAAGTAAGACGTGTCAGCTACTTCAGAGCAGCACGTGGTAGCCTCCCCTAAACTGTTTGCCCGAGACTCTCTGTTGTCTGAGCATCCCCGGATGCTTTTCCCTAAGGTGTGGAGTGGAAATCAGCCAGACAGAGGAGGAACATGTGCTTCAGTCTGCTGCTCAGGACGAGAGCCTGGGGGCACCTCCCTGGAAAAGGGAGACCTGAACAGACGGTCTTTCCCTGAATATAACAAAACTGTGGAAGTGAGGTCATTAAGACTGAAACCTAAGGTACACACTCAGACCTCACTTTTTTTTTTTGCTGAATACCATGTTCCTGAAACTTAGACCCTTGGATGTGTCTCTTTATCCTTTGGAACCACGTACCCACAGACTGTATGATAAATACACATATAGTATAATTACATCGAGCAGGCTTAGCATTCAGACAGCCTTGGCTTCAAATTTGGGTTCTACCCATTTCCCACTGGGGTTTTGACCCTCTCTAAACCACACTTCCCTTATCTAAATGGTGGTGGTGATACTACTACTTCACACCGTTGCGAGGATGAAAAGAATATATAGGAAAATGTGAGCTTTGGGGCCTGTAACAGAAATGCTCGTTAAATGGTAATTGTTGATTTGATTATTTTCATTTCACCTCCAAGATTGGATCAGGGTGGGGAAATTCTCCTTTCTTCTTGCGTTCTTATGGCTGGACTAATAATAAAATTGACATAACAGACAACATAAAATAACATATTAACAGGAGAAAAACCCAGTTTAAGACATACATATTGGAGATGATAGAGAAATGATGCTCAGAGAGCAAACAAAGCAGGCAGTATATATATATCTTGTATGCAAAGAAATAATAAATTTGTGAGGAATGACAGGACAAAGAAACTTAGATCTGAAGAATTTAAGCAGAGTTTAGGCTCAAGGTAGTAAATTACTCAGGGTTCCCGGCGCTGAAGTCCCCAGCTGTGGTGATAAGGATGCGGGGAGAGCATCTTTCACACTGGAGATTTATTTCCTACTTTCAGGGGAGACAGAGACTGGAGGGTCAGAAAGCCATTTTTGCTTCTCAAGTAACTTATTTAAATAATCAATATGCCATTGTGGGATATTGTGGGGTGGCCTGCCCTGGGCGCCAACAGTTGACATGTTTAAGTATATCAAAATGAGATCTAAGCATAACCTCCCCTTCAAAATAAACTTCTGAGGGTCTGATGCATTAGGGGTGAGCTGTTTCAGGAAATCTGGTGGTGTGGGAAACTCAGAGTAGGTTAAATTCCCATAGCTAACTCGTATGTAGCAGTACAAGATTGCTCTATAAAGTGGGTCTACCTAATGCATTACGCTTTCCAGTACTGCACCACACTTCCTTGTAATTACTGAAATTAAATGTGTTGTGGGGAGGGAGGGGTCCATACCAAAGACTATAAATTCTGTTAGGAAAAAAGGTAGCAGAGTATACATATGTGTGGCTTTATGATCCTACACACATTACAATTACACTTGTCCTTTTGGGTAGGACATGAAATCTCTCAAGGAAAAGTGAAATTGTTCTTAACAATAGGTGAGCTAAAATTACCACTGACTCCATTCCATGCGTACGGAAAGAAGATAAAATTGTTAGTCAGGGGGCCGGCCCTGTGGCCAAGTGGTTGGGTTCGTGCGCTCCGCTGCAGGTGGCCCAGTGTTTTGTTGGTTCGAGTCCTGGGCGCGGACATGGTACCGCTCATTGGGCCACACTGGGGCTGCATCCCACATGCCCTAACTGTAGGGACCCACAGCTAAGAATATACAACTATGTACCGGGGGGCTTTGGGGAGAAAAAGGAAAAAAATAAAATCTTTAAAAAAATTGTTAATCAGAATTTATCAAAAACCTTTTCACCTTTGAAATTTTCAAATATATGCAAAAGTAGGCTAACATGTTGAGCTCCACATACCCATCATCCAGCTTCAACAAATACCATTTTCTAAATTCCTACTTCATCTGAATTTAGCCCATTTTCTTCCATTTCATCCCCCAACCCCAGATATGCATATCCTAGAAGCATGATTTCATGTATACTTAGGATACAGCCTTTAAAAATAAATCTTTTGATATGTATGTACAAGTTCCCATTTTTTTATGTATCGCCTCCTCATGATTCCAAAAATATGTTTCCTTCCTGTCCGAAGCAAAAGGAATCCATGAGCCACAAGAACAGTAGTGCTGGAATGAAGGTAACTTGGAATTAGAAACACTGTTCAAATTGGACATCTACATTTACCTTTTTTGATCTAGTTTTCTAAAGAGATTTTAACTTGACCAAAGAGAGCCCTCCCTTAACATGTGTTTGGGGAAGGGAGAGTCTTGCTTTCTATGATCTGTTTTCCAGACTTAATGTCTAAAAAGGCCCAAGGGCTAAAACTTAGAACTTTATATAAAACTGTGGTAAACTTTGTATCACCTTTACACTTTGCCCTCCAACCCTGTTCTCACTGCGTTTTCTTCCTCCACCAGACTTCCAAGACTGAAATCTCTCATAAGGGAGAAGTAGAGACAAAATTTTCGAGGAGCTCTGGAAAGCTGGTGCCAGAGATTAAAAACTCTGAAATCCTGGGTCAACAAACACCAGAAATTAAAGCATAAAATGAAACCCCTTGCTGGAAGAGAGAAAATGAGAATTCTACCATAAGGCTCACCCCACTTGGAGATCCTTTTACCCACGGGAATTTTACAAAAGGTCATTTCGTCTCAGGGTTGTGTGTTGCAGAGTCAGAAGAGAAAAATGTGAGGATTGAACGTGTCTTGAGAATGACGGAGGATGAAAAGGGAAAGTTCATACAAATAGGTCTGTAAAGTTTGATGTCTAAAAGTCAAAATGGTTTTAAAGCCAGTGTGAAAATATTTCCAAGAAATATACTCAAGTAGAATGATTGTTTCTGATCTACTATTTTTTCCATTTGATCTATTTTTTCCAGTCTAATATTGGGCATCATATCTGTGGTGCTTATGAAAGGCAAATTAAACAGAATTCGCATCTTCCAGAAATAAATATATGAAAACACTGAAAAAATATATACAAACAATAGAAATATAATCGTCGGTAGATACAAAAATACGTGATGATTTGCTATCTAATTTGAAGTATTTGTTGAAATATATTTAATGGAAAGGCAGTATTGATAGAATTTTAAAAATTTTTCCTCCAAAATATATAATTCTTGAGCTAAATACTGGAAAAGTCTAGACATCATTTCATAAAATAATTTTAAATTTTCACTTGCCCCATACTATATCTTTGCTTGGGTTTTTATAGCAGTATATTAAAAATATAAGAGCAATATTCTGCATGTGAATCCTCAATGCATCTTCATTAAACATGTATATCAATCAAAGTCAAAACTGTATTGTTAGGGGGCCAGCCCCATGGCGGGTTTAAGTCCATGCACTCCACGTCCGCAGCCCAAATTCTTGGGTTCAAATCCTGGGCATGGACCTACATCATTCATCAACCCATGCTGTGGTGGCAACTCACATTCAAAATAGAGGAAGATTAGCAACAGATGTTAGCTCAGAGCAAATCTTCCTCACCAAAAAAAATAAAACAATGGGTCGGCCTGGTGGCGTAGCAGTTAATTCACGTGTTCCACTTCTCGGCGGCTCAGGGTTCACTGGTTCAGATCCCAGGTGCAGACATGGCACTGCTTGGCAAGCCATGCCATGGTAGGCATCCCACATATAAAGTAGAGGAAGATGCGCATGGATGTTAGCTCAGGGCCAGTCTTCCTCAGCAAAAAGATGAGGATTGGCAGCAGATGTTAGCTCAGGGCCAATCTTCCTCAAAAGACAACAAAACTGTGTGGTTAGAATAAAATTGCTTAAAAACAGTATGTTCCATTCAACTTCTGTTTCAAGGCCCATGAAAATCATTTAACCTCGCTTGCTTTGGCTCCAGGAAAGTTCTCTGTTATGCATACCTCATGTCCATTATACTGCTTGTATCTTGCTCCTATAACAACAATCATTCAGCAAGTCTGCGTTGGATGCCTCCTACTGGGTACCCACCAAGTACCAACCGGGCAGTCTTCTGAGGTGTGTGATCTAGTGGGGGTGAGAGATACTCCACTGAAATGCAACATGGATAAGGGTGGGCGTGGGAATCAAAGGCTGTCAGGAAGAAGTTATGTGTAGTCTCATGTGAAACTTGATAATCTGCATTTTGAAGACTTAAGAAAAAAAAGTGTATGTGTTCCTGTTCTACTTTAAAAGAATTTTATTATTTTAAAGCTCTTTCTCACATAAGAGATCTTGGCACAAGAAAAGAAGGAGCTGCTTACACCAGGCTGCAGATCTCCCAGACTGACCGAAATGTGTTAGAACTCTGGGGAAGATCGTTATGCAGTGTGTGTTTCCTTTATGTGTGTCCTGGGCACGGACATCCCGGCTCTGCTGATCCCAGGATGGATGTCCTGAGGTGACAGCCTTGGCATGGCTGGGGGTATCTGAAACCGTGAAGTCACACAGCGCAGCTTAAGCATTTGGCCTTAGAGGCAATTCTGGTGGCCATATAGTGTGACTCCCCAACTCTGTTTTCCTTCTTCCTTTGATGTACCTATCTTTCCTCACCTTAGTCCTAACTCTTGCA